ATTTTACGATTTAGAGGATTAACAAATTTTACTTTTTATTTATTTATTTATTGAGCTTTTTAAAAATCACTTTCCCGGTTTTAGAAATAAAAGCTATAAAATGAAAAGGAATAATTTTCTAAAGCAACTTAAAAGGTGTGAGCTCACCTCTTTTAGCGTATGTTAAACATTCCAAATCGAACGATGTGCTGACGCATACTTCACCTGAGAGACATTTTTTCAGGATAGAACAATCTCCATACTCCAACTAAAATTTACAAATCATTTAAACGATAAACAAATATTTCTAACAGTTATAATTTACAGCATCGATCGTTCAATCTGCAAATCCTTTTTGCCTTATAATGCCTTCTACTTGTTTTTTATTTATTTATTTATTTTTTCACTTAAAGAAATAAGCAAATTTTTTCTTATATATGTTATAAAGCTAAATGAGTTAAATTTAGATCTTGTTTAGTTATGTCAAAGGGTATTTTTACCACTGAATAAAATCTATTTATATATATAACTATTTTAAAAAATCTTTGATTTTAATTTATGCCATATTTCTATAACTTTAAAATCATTTTCAAGATTATTTAGTTTCGTTTAATGGTTCAGTAGAGAAATTTTTTGTTCTGCCTCTATTTTTGGAGTTTTTATTTATTTCGCATTAATTCTTTTTATAGGTCAGTGTAAAAATATTTTATCATTCGATGATATTTGGTCCTGAACAATTTTATTTTGTTTCATTATTTTAAATTAAATCAAATTTGATTATAGGTATTCATGAAAATGTTAATAGAAATAGCAAAGATTAGTCAATAACATATTTACTTGTATGAATAATCTCAAACAACTTAACGTAAAAACTTAATTTTCTTAAAAAATTATTATTATTATTTTTTCTTCCAATGCCCACCTGGAGAATGACCTTTCGTCATGCGGACATCTGAAGGGCAGATTTGTTAGCCTCGTTTTGCGGGGCTCCATATTAGGTGAGCCAACGTTGCTCCCACAAAGGACAGATAGTACAGAAAAATAAAAGAATATCCATGCCAGGCCCGGGATTAGAACCCACAACCTTTCCGATGCACGACCTGTACCCTGACCCCTACGCAGACCGGTCGGATCTTAAAAAATTATAAAAATGGAATAAAATCGACAGGTTTCAAGCGCTCAAAAAATAAGCGCCCACCTTTAAAATCTTTGAAACTAATAAAGTACTTTCATTATTACGCAGATTTACTTGTTTATTTTTAGTGATATAAAAATTACTTACATGAGTTGCAGTTGCTAATATACAAATTGATGTAAAAACAATTCTTATCATATTTTAAAGTTTTTGGTCGACGTACATAAACAGCAAATAGATTGTAAGTTAAAAAAAAAAGACTTTCAATGCCAACTATCATATGGAAAATTAATACACAACTATAATTTCTGTATTTATCTAGTATATTATTATTTTTTTATAGGTGAATAATTTCTATCATTTATGTTTGGGTCGTATTATAAAGTGACAGAGCAATAGATTCTGCCAAGTTTGTTGATTCAATTTGGGCAATTTATCTATTTATTCAGATAACACCTGACTTCAGATGAAATGTCATGTCTTCAGAACTACATCCACAATCAACATCTTCTGGAGTCATCGATGCCTTGTCAAAATGTATAAAAACAGTGCGAATCTATTGAGTTTCCGCTTTTAGAATTTCAGTTTGCGAAGATTTGAAATGTTTTTTATTACAGACATTTGTAAAATGGTACTGTTTACTTTTCAATTGACCTGAAGTGTTTTTTTAAAACGAGAAAATTAACTCGATTTTTTTTTTTTCAAAATGAAAATGGGATTAAAAATTTGACGCTTGAGGGGGAGCTCAATTTTGTAAATTTGTACCTTGAAACCTATAATCTCTGAACATAAACAGTTTCTATGAGAGTCCTTCTAATAAAATGATGTCCATAGACTATGTACCTGAAAGACAGTTGTTTAGTTTCCAAAACTAGGTCAAAAATCAAGTTTTTTATTCTTGTTAAGAGTTTAACGTGGATAAGGACTTGAGTTTGGAAAAGGAACCTTATAAATTAATTTCGCTCAATAATACCACAAAATCTATAATTTAGCCATAAACATTTGGTTAGAAAATAATTTTTTTACACTTAAGCTGAAATTTATTATAGAAATGCAAGTCTGAAACTGTAGTTTTTTTTCTTTTTTGTAGAGATATTAATAGAATTTTAGACTGAAAATCCCTGATTTTAAACATTTTAAATACTCCTTTTTATTTATCAAATTTTTATTATATGAAATTATTTTATGATGGAATGGTAAAACTATATCGATCATTACATTTAATGAGTTATTAGTTATCACCACTTTCACATTTTTATCTGCACTTGAAACCCTTTCAGTTTGAAAGAGTATCAGCACTCGACCACTCGAACTTTATTTTTTTTAATGCTACCTAGATCGACTGATGTGATATAAGAAAGTGATACATAAGTGGTTTTCAAATTAGCAAAAATCTCCGAATCCCTTAATTTTTTTTTAAAGATAAGAAAATAAATTTCTCGGTTTATAAATACCTTTTTCGAATTTGTAAACTTGCTAAAATTATATCTCTACACCTTAGGTTCCCAACGTGGGTGCTGTCGCCAAACCTCCAGTGGGTATTGAAGGGGTGTGTGGAAAATTACATACAAGAGAAAACTTTTTAACTATCTAGTACACTTGGGAATTAATAGTTTGAGTTAGAATCAAAAAACCATTACATACCTAATTCTGCATAAATTACTTGCTATTAAAGCAATTATTGATTCAGTATGAGAAAAAAATTATGCTAATTTTATGGTTAAAGTAACACTTTGCTTTCAATTCTACTCTACACATAAAGTTATTAAACTATGAAGTTGGATCTTGGATTTGATTTTTTTCCCGTCTCAGAACTCCAACTCTTCATTTTGAATTTTAAACAAATTATTTTGATGTTTGTTTTATACACCATGAATATTCTGTGCAACAATTTGGTATTTTTAGGATAATTTGTTTAAAAGTTATTTTGCTCTCTATTTAGATGTTCGCAGCAGAAAATTCCTACCTAAGTAAAGGCTATTTTTATTTTTTAAAAAAAATGCTGAAAGAATTTCAAAAATAGTCATTGGTCTAGAGGGTTTTTCAATAAATTGACGATATGATTACAAATGCTCCCTATTGAAAATAATAAATAAAAGATGCTTTTTTTAATTAATATTGTTTAAGTAATGTTTGATAAATTAACTTTTTAAGGGAGCCTTAAAAAACAAGTTTATTTCGGAAACAGGGAGGTCAGTCTAAAAATGCTGGGAATATAGGCTCTAGACAATCAATAGGCATCTTGTTGTCAATGTCTGAGGGAGCAGGGTTCTGCCCTAAGGCCTTGCGAGAATATTTTTTTTTTTTTTAATTTTATCTTTTTTGCACAAGAAATGCGTAATGTGAGGCAATAGATGCGACTTATCGATGTAAAATTTAACATAAAAGTATGCTGTCCACCCATCATACCTCAAAGTAAATTTTTTTCTTCTTAATTTTCATTTCGATTATTTTTTTTTAAATTTCTTACTAATTATAACGTTTGAGAAAATTTTTTAACAAATTGGAAGATAACAGACCGTTTACACTGGATGTGATTTTTTTCGCTAGCGATTCGAATGAGAAGAAACAGGAAAGACTAGTTTTTCTCGGGTAAAAATCATGGATCCTAAAGCGATACTCTAGACTCCATGGTAAAAATATTTTACCCATGAGGTTTTTATTCGCATGTAACAAAATCACATCCATCAATATAGGCGGCCTTTTTTAATAGCTCATTATTCTGTATCCAGATATTGCTTTTCACCTTTTGCGTCTAATTTTAGTGAATTTGAAAGAATACATCTTATGGCTCATTCATAAAGTGCTTATTGGAGGAGATACATATTGTCCATATGCATAGACCAGCGGACCTATTGACCCTTACATGTTTGGTTCTTAACGATTGCGCCGTGTTGCGAATAATTCTTGATCACCTCATAAAAATAAGTGTGAGAAGACGCTTTTTAAAGTCAAAATTGGAAGTGGTAAAAATGTGCAGACTCACTGCTCCTCAGGTGATTTCATTTAAAGTGAGTGTAGTCATTAAACTAAAATGAAACTTTAATCGAATGAGTAATGACTATACTCAGCGAAGTCCATCCAATATGTTCAGATGATTTATGAGTTTCATGCAATCTTAACTCTGGATTTATAAAGTGGTTTTTGAAATTGTGGTATTCTGCTACGGTTTTTTATGCAATAGTTAAAATTCCCCACAATGAATGGTTGCAGTTGAGTTGCCACGGGAAATTTTGTCTGTCTAACCAAAGAACTTCTTCAACTATTGGGGTTGTCCATGCAAGGATATAGAGGGGTATATTCACCTCTATATTCTTTGGTGAAGCGTCGACCATAGAGTTACTATTTCAACTTTATGAGTCATCTCTTCCGCGGGGGATATAAATTGTGATGGCATGTCCGCTGTTCATCCTCAGGATCTTTCTCAGAGCGACGCCGATAGTCCTTTGTGCAGCTCTAGTGCGACGTAAATAAAATACCTTCCAACCCATCACGCACCTCTGATTTCTGCAGAGAGAAACAGAGACCTTAATTGGTTGGTTTTTCTCGCAAAAAACATTTCATCAATCTGGCTCTAAATTTTTCTCGGTTCATGATTATGTGTGCATGAATCATATTTAATGAGAATGACCCTTTAGTTCAATCATTTCTTGTTTCTAAATTACGTCTTATGATTAATTTTACTTTATTTTTAAAAGCATAGCAAGCTACAAGTTAAAAAAATAGTCTATGAAATTAGAACCGGTTTATTTATCAACAAACATAGCAGACGAAAAGTTGATTAGGAATGGAGGATGTGTTTTTGTCAAGATAATATATTGACAAATGATGTTCATTTTTCATTAGCCTCGTTTAAAAAAGTACTAAAATATATATTTACCTAATTACTTTTTCAAAATTTAAAAAAAATTATGCTTTATTCTTCTAGGTGACTTAACGTTAGTATAAAATGTTGCAACATAACGCCCCTTTAATTTTGTCTAAGAAGTGATTTTTATTGTAATTGTTGAATTCTATAGCTTGATTTATCCTTCTTTTCTTTGTTTTCAATTGCGTATTACTTTATATTTTTTTGATGTTTAGTACTATATTAAGCAGAGTTATAATATTTTTCTCAATTTTCTTAAGTTTATTGTATCATCCTTTCTCATTTACATTTAATTCTATTATCAACTAATTATCATTTAGAAAAGCACACCCACCTTACCCTAATACATCTGTAAGAAATAAAAATTTTGAGAAAATTTTCAATTCTTGTTTCTTTTCTTCCAAATCTTAGAGATATGATTGTTGTTGTTATTTCTTTATACTATCACACATAAGCATGTCATAATAATGTAAAATTTTTTATACTTAGTTCATTTATTTTTTTTAACAAGGTTTTGACAAGTTCTCAAAAAAAAAAGGTGATCAAAGCTAAATTTAGCCTATTACTTTAATATCCAAATTATTTTAGCGAGTTTAGAGGATGTAACAAGCCTGTGCCATTGTTAGACATAGTAAATTATATAGAAATGATGCATTTTTATCCTCCAATTTTGAGTCTTCAGAATCTGTGATCCCTTTAGAAAATCTATTATTAATACGATAATATTCTGCTAAATTTTCCAATCTTTTACTATCACAGGTTTCAAAGTTTTATATACAGGTTTTATCAAAGATATTTTAATTCTTTTAGGTCTTCATTATTAGGTAAAACATCTGTAAAGGAAATATTTGGAACTTTTCACTGAAACTGTAGTATATTTTGTTATTAAATTTTCATATTTTTAGTATTTAATTTCTTATTTTATAAAAATTATGTTTCTTTTTCAGCAGAATGGATGAAAATCCAGAAATTTTAGCTAAGTATCAAAAGTTAGCACTTGAATATTCAAAAGTAAGTTACATTTTCATTATTGTTGTTAAAATTTTTTATTAATTTAATTTTTTTTTTCTATTTGCAAGGTTACACAGGGATTTTATAAACCCAGAGTCAAAACTCATTAGGGCGCTTTCCTTAAAACATAACATTTATTTTTTCTTCTTATTTTGCAAGCCATTTTTAAAAAGCCTTTTTTAAGCGGTAATTTAACTTTTGATGCTCAAAACATCAATTTTCATAAACATACTAAATTTACTTCAAATACGACTCAATTTTAACTCAATTCAAACTCATTTTATGCATCTTTAAATTTTTTATTAATTATATTTTTTGCTGAAAACTTAGCACGTGTTGGCTAACTTTATTCTTTGAGTTGCTGTCGGTTTAACTGTTTGAAAAAAAATTGCGGTATACTTATAAAAAGTTCTCTGCCTATTTTTTTAATCATTTTTTTTAATAAAACATTAAAATAAATTACATTACGTGTGAAAATTTTCAATCAGACTCTGGGGCATTTGTCCCTGTGTGCCTCCTTTGAGTACTGTTCTGTAAACAGTTATGTGAATCTGAAATTATAGAGTTAGAAGATTAAGTATTTTATATAGATATGTATAGTAATGATTGTTTAAATGAATAAATGCATGAAAATGTTTGTTTCTTGATTATGATATTTCATAGCTTAAACTTCTATATATGCATGTTAAATGTGGTTACATGGTAAAATATTTATCCAACAATTATAAAATTGTTCAAATGCCAAATTGTATTCATTAAATTCATTTTTTTTAACTTTAAGAAAACTTTTCAAGAAGTATCTAAAATTTTTACCAAATATATTTATTTGCATATTGAAATAAATTTTTTTAATTTAAGTTGAAAGCTCAAATATCTGTTTTGAAGACAGCAGTCGCAGATGAACAAACTAATGCATCCGAATTACAAGTAAGTATGAAGTAAAGTAGTAGTTTTTTAAATTAATATTAATATACATTTATCATTAAACCATTTATTTAGATTCAATTTTTAAAATTTACCTTTATCATGTCTATTTTTAATAAAGGGCAACATAAGAATATTTTTCTAAATAACTTGTAATCACATCATTATTTAATATTGTCATTTTCTGAAGGGTCTGAATTTCTAAAAATGTAATAAGAATTGGAATCAAAACATTTTCAAAAAGTAAAATGCTTCAAAAACCCGAGGTTTATTTTATTTTCATTGATTTCATCCTTATTTACCCCTCCCCATATACACTCACTGTGAACAATCTTATTTTAAAATTTGATATTATTTTTATTATATTTTAAATTCAAATAAACAATGCTCCAATTATGAAAATATGAGAAAAAAATGTAAAATTATAAATAACTCAATAATTCATGTTCAATTATGATTTTAGGAAAATGCAATTAAAATCTTTGTATCAAGTTTAATGTCATACTTCAAGCCTAGCATTTTTAATTTTTGTATTAATAACTATCTTGTGCAGGTCTACAAATTAGCCAGTTAATAAATCATTGAAGCATTTCGTCATGTTCAAACTACTAATGCAATGGTCATGAAAAGAAAATCATTTGAGATGTGAGAATATTACTTAGGCTTGTCTTTTGATAACATTTGAATTATTTGGATTTTTACACACTTTATCTTTAAGGGAATTTTCTATTAAATAAAGGCATTATTATTTGAATTTTTTTTTAATTCAAGGGTGTTTTACAGCATTTTTTTTAAGTATTTAGGGTATTTTTTTCCATTATTATTATTTTTTTTTTGGCTATAAATTTTTTTAAATATTAATGCAAGTTTTTCCTAATAATTTTACATTTTATTTTGTCACTCGCAATATCATCTACTACCAAGTTTTCCTCATTTATTATGTTATTAATTTAAAATCTTGAGAAGGTATCATTTTTTACAGCTTTCCCATCTTCTCTGATTTGTATTTTTTAGAAGATTGCAGTTTTTTAAGCAAGAATTTACTGTTGTCTGCTATTGAAAGAAACTGTGGGTAGGCAACAGGAATAAATTCTGAAAGCTAAATTTCTGAAATAAATTCTGATTATTTTAAAGATTTATTTAGTTTAATATGTTTACTTAAATAGTAGGACTCTTAGGATAATTTTTTATAATTGATGTCATTTTTTAAAAGCATTTATAGGGATTTTTTTAGGTCATAAAAATTCAGGCTCTACTTATTTACTGTGAAGAGAAAAATCCCCATTGTGAAACAAGTTGAACAAAATTTTATTTTGTGATTAATAGGTTAACAGACAAATTATTCCTGACAATAATTGTTACTTCCACTATAGATATTTTTAAATGATTTGTTCCTCTCCTTTTAGGAAGCTCTAAAGAAAAGAGACCAGTTGATTCGTAAACTAGAGCAGGAGGTGGAGTGTTTGAATTTCAGAAATCTGCAGCTTTCAAAAAGAGTATCTATTTTGCAGAATGATTTGGAGGTTGTTGATACAAAGCATCATTCCAAGGTAATATTCTTTTGTTTGTTTGCTGATTTTTTTGTCATTTTATATATATATTTGTGGTATAATCGTGGTAACGGGGCGACATTGTTGCAGAACGATACCAAATTCTTGCAGAAAGATTTTACCTTTGGGAAATAAAAAATTTTGGTTTTCAGAAACTTTCCTAAGATTATTTATATTCAAAAGATGCCTTTCTCGTCCGTCGGAGTCGAAAAAAATGCTTATGATTATTTTATTCTCAAATTCTTTTTCAAAAATAAAGAATAATGAAATAAAAAATTTGGTCTTCTTTTTTCTGCAGAAATTTTAGTTCTGTTTTTTTTTTTTGCAATAATTACTATTGACTTCTACATCATTTTTAAAATCCTATATTTTTAATATATTATTTATTACAACAACTAAATCTCAAAATGAAAACATGCATTCAGTATTGCATTTAGTACATTTAGTATAAAATGAGAAAGAACCCCTTTTTGAAGAGCCCGATTTGCACGATTTTGCCGTCGACCTTCCCCCCTCCTGGTAATTGCAGCAGTAGTTGTAATTGTAGAGTTTTGTATTTCTTGGAAAATGTGTACATAAAAATCAATTTATGTTAGGATTAATTGACTTAGATTTTATGTAGTATTGAAGATGATATTTTGTGGTTACTAATTTTATTCAGAGTTTAACACGAAGTCTTTTTGAAAATGTGACCCATATTTTTTAAAATATAAGCTGGTATGTATTATGAATGTATAGATTTATGTATTATGCATAGAGTTTTGTATAGAGTATTCGAAAAGGGTTTTAAAAGCCTGTTTTCATGTTTCATTTGGGTGCAAGTTGAACTTTTATTCTATTAGAAAACAGTTATTTAATAGTAACTGAAAAAGAACATTAAAAATCAAAGAAATATATTGGGCACTATTGCAATATATTGGGCTTGTTTTTATGAATATTAAGTTATAAAAATAGTTGGTATGATCATAAAATAAAAAATCTTTTTATATGCTTCAATAGATTTTATTTATACTTTTAAAATATTGCCATAAAAAGTTAATTTATCATTGCATAAAAGCCATAATGGGACAGTGTTTAAAACACCAAATAGTTATTTTTCTTACCCTGGAAGATATTTGAAGCCCTTTCAGCTTCAGATCGATGACACCTGTTTGGAAGTAAAGGCGACCGCTGCTCAATGCTGTTCGAATTGCTATCATTATGACCTAGATCACAAAATTATGAAGCCTTAATAATTATTGTGGAAAATGTTGTATATATGTATTGTGGATAATCCAAAAATGCAGTACAAAAACACTCTTTGACTCACAAAGAGTACTTTTTGTTGTTACTTAAATTGTAACAAATTTTTTTAAAAAAATTTTGACAAATAATTAAGTGTTATGATATATCTAAATTGTACAATAAATTTAGTGAACCAGTAATAGTTAAGGTCATTAAAATGCAGCAGATGAGATGGTTTGGTCATATCTAAGACAAGAATTACGCAGTAATAAATTAAATTTACATGAGCCTGAGGGAAAAAGAGAAACGTAGGTCACTTACTAGATTGTTAGATTAAGCGGAAAAGGGCAAATAGTTATGCAGTGTAAGGGTTAATAGTTATTGAGTACTAAGTCATTATCCAGCTGTTGTGCTGTTAGAAGAAAATTAATTAATTAAAAAAATTGAACATTTTGATAGTTTAAATACTTGAGCACTGTAATGCTCTAAAGTGCCTATTAGTAGTGTATAGGCACATTTGAACATCACAGTTTAATTTATAACCGTCGTTGAACAGCCTACCCAATTTTTTGGGTTTATGACTACAAATATTGAACCCCATAGCCTTGTAATTTTGAACCCAATCCAGAAAACAAGGGAACCCCTGGATCAAGTATTGGGAGAAGGTCTTTGTGGAGGTTTTTTTGATGGAACCAACCCGCATTTGCATTACACAGGGTGGAAAACCATAAAAACCTCCCGTGTTTAGCCTGACAGCAAGAGGACTCCAACCCATGATCGGTCTACCACTGACGATATTTTATGTCAGAACTGTGGTCCCTGCGAGCCACATGCGGAATTCGTACCGGGTTCTAATCCCAGTGATGGATGCGGAATTCGTATTGACCTGCCATCACTGGATTAGAACCTGGTTCACCTCATTGGAAGGTGAATCCTCTATCCCCTGAGCCATCATGCCTCTAAACATCACATTAATTTTTTTTCTGTTATGGTTGTGTGTAATGAATCTTTTCTATGCTCTTTACTACCTGTTAGAAGGAATTTGAATGTTCAAATTTAGTGCTTAAGTATATTTGTAAAATTAATTTATTGTTTAAATTGGTTTTTAATTTATATCAATTCATGGTGTGTTGCAATGATTGGAATAGGAAATTCAAGCCATTGTAAAGGATATTCATCATTTATTTATTTATTAAATATTTATAAAGCATTAAAATCATTACAATGGATTAAATTTTATTTTTGATTCTCCCAGGCTAAATCCAGTTCTATTATTTTTATTTGTTAATATTTTATTAATTGACATAATATAAGAACAAATATTTTTTGGGTAGTAAATGTACTATTAATTCATTTTCAGAGTAAATCACCGGGTGTTCAGTCTGGTCATTTATCTGAATCTTACAATGTTTTGAATGCTGAGCTACAGAGTAGAATAGAAGAAAATGAAAGACTACACCAACAGGTGGGAAAAACTTATTTAAATTTTCCTTTTTTGGTCTAAAAATTCTTATAAAATGTTTTAAAAATTGTTATTAATGTAAGCATTTTACGAAATCGGTTACCTTTAAATTATGTTCTAATAATCTGTTTGCTGTATTGTATTTCTTCTTTTTTAAAACCAACGGCATTTTACAGTTATTTTTTGTAAGGTCCCCAATTTTTGCACTATCTTCCAAGCTTCCAAAAAATACACATAATTTCAAATTTCAGCAAAAGTTTTGAAATGTTTTAGGAGGAAAAAAAACTTATTCAAATAAGAATATTTGCAGTCTAAACTTGTTTCAATCGATTAATATAATAGTTTTAATATTTAAAAAGTGAAATAGAACGTTTTATTCTTTTCGTAAGTATTTTATTGTTGAACATCTATTCTCTATTGAATAACATAAAAGAAAATTGGGTTGTTGTGTAGGAGAGGTTGTGACTGTAAACTAAACGGCTACTCTTAGTTTAGTTTAAAGCAAACAAAATATTATTAACAGAATTTTTTTTTAATATTTAATACTAACTTTCATGCTTTATTTTAAGGTCTATACTGCAGATCAAGAACATGGTAGAATTGTCTCTGATCTAAATTCTACTGTAGAGCAGTTACAGTCAAATTTAACTGAACTTGAGAAAAAAAGTAGTGAAAAAATCAAAGAGCAACAAACAACGATAGATACACTGCAGAAAGAAAAGATAAAAATGCAGGTACTTACATCCATTTTAATTAAGATCCCTTTCATATTAAAATTATTTTTCTTTTTCTACATTTCTCTTTTTTTTCAGGTTTGCATAAAAAATCATGAGCAAGAATTAAAAAAGTTGAATTCATCTGAAGATATAAAGTACTTATGCTTGTTTTATTATCTTTTGAAATTTTTCCATATTTGCATGTATTTTTTATTATGCTTTTTTAAATTTTTTTTTTAAAACTAGCATCATGTTTGGTCTAGTTTGTAAATGGTACACCATCTGTAAACACTGTACTTCAAGGATTGATTACACTGGGGAACAACTTATTTTTGTTTCCTGTTGAAAGAGGTATCTTAACAGATTTTACATATTTTTGCATCACTGATTTCTAGTCTGCAATAGGTTTCTCTCTACAAGCTACAGTTATAATAAAATGTAATAATATATTCCAAACCAAGATTTTATAAAATTCGCAAAAGTGATTACTAAGTCTCCTCACTTCTGTAGGGTATTCTGAAAGAAGGCAATAATACATTTCAGTTAATGATGGGGTAGATAAGTTGTTTGTGACAAGTGTGGTGATGTTTTTCAAAGAAGCAAATAAGCGTGTGTGTTTGTATATATATGCACTTATTTGCATAGTGCCATTATGCTACCATCTGCCGCGTCTGACTCTAGTCATGTGTTATTTAGCAACACTAACTACAATAAAACTGGCTTGTTTGTCAAGATGGAAATTATTGAAGCTAATATATTTTAGCTTTATGTGGAATCAGCTTTTTTTTAAATATAATTAGTGAAATTTGAGAAATAGCTATTACTTTTCATTAGATTTGTTAAAATGCATAGAGCTTCAGAACATGTTTTTAATAATATCTGCATTTACATCAGACTTGATTTTCTTAAGTTTAAAGGTTACTTTGTTCCACAAAAGAATATAACCTGCAAGAAGAATGCATCATTTATGCTTTTCAAATGGGCAGTTAATAATTGGACTAATTTAATCTTTATTATAAACAGCTGCTGAGTTGTGTATACGAAGATTTAAGGAGGCTGTTTCTTGTTGACTAACTTGTCAAAATTGAACTGGTGTCCATGTAACACTAACAACAATAAACATGTTTGCTTGTTAACTGATGTTTTACCGGAATTTTCAGTCACACATGATAGTACTCCAGTTCCCATTATTTATAGCTGTTAAGCCTTAAGTACAGTTTTTTTTTAATGTTTTTAATATTAGTAAAAGTAAAGCATTTCTGCAACAACCAATTGTGGATCAGGAAGTCAGAGAGGTTAAATTTACAGAATTTCATAGTCAATGTGTGGTGATGTAGTCAGCTTCCACCATCCTTACTTTTCATACCATATTTAAAGCCCACCATCCTAGATGGGCTTTAAGTCACCACCAGGGATAAAACCTGAGTTTTTTTACAATGACATCCCAGTATCTTAATCACTGTGACTTGGCTCTAATTTATTGTGATCATTGTGGCTCTATTTTATCATTATTTTACCTGATCACTTGTTTTCAACTGCTAACCCCATAGAATTTTGGCTACCTCTTTTCAATTTCTGCAGCTTTGTGATTTTTGACCCAACTCAGAAGATAAGTGGATTCTTGGAATAAAGATTTGGATGAACTTGGTTTTGTGGAGTAGATTTTTTGAGTGAAAATGATGCACTTTTATGTTAGGTAAAATGAATACCACAGAAACCTCTTACAGTTACAGCAAGGGATTTCTAACCTACGGTTGGTTTGTCACTGGAGATATTTTAGGCCCATGCTTTCCTAGAATAGTATGCAAATGGACTAGCTTTTGCTAAAATTTGAGCCTGATTTGCTTCATTGAAAGGTAAATGTGTGAAAAGCAATTCCTCATCAAATATCAAAATTTAATACCAGTATTCTTTACATATTTGTATTCAAATTTAAAAGGGAGATATTTAAAAAAATATTACCACAGCTTTATAAAGGAGACATCAAATTATATGTTTTACGTTCGTTGGTATCAAATTGTACGTTGCCAAGCATATCTTTGTGAATAATTTATTTTGAAATAGGCTTGCTTTATTTCATTGTGTTTAACTGTCTCATTACTCCAGTAAAAAAATTTCTAAACAACAATATATGTGTTAGATTTAGATTAGATTCAATATAGATTTTTTTAAGGAAAGCAACTAGATTTTATTCTGAATTGAGTGAAATTATTAAAAGCTAATTTGTTTGGATTCAATTCTTATTTTTAGATTTGAGCTGTCTTTAATTTATTTGGATTGGTTATAATTTTTGTGTTTAATTTAATCAATATATGTATTTTTATAGGAATTTATAATTCCTTTAAAAATATGGCATGATAAATATATATATAATTACTTTATATTTTACAAACGAGTTTATTGTTTTTTTATGTAACATATCTTGCAATTTCAAAAGCTGATTTTGTTCAAAAACTGTATTTTTAGTATTCCTTATTTTATATTGCTTTATTTTAAAGCAATTTTGTTAACTCATAAAATTGATATTGTTTTTGATATTGTTCGCTTTCAATAATATTTTTTTTAGGTCAAAAGACATAACAGCTGAGAACAAAGAGCTAAATCTTCAAATAGAAGAAATGAAAACAATTATAGCCAATAACGTTTTGTTTAATGATAAGTGTAAGTTTTAGAAATAACTGTTTTTTATGTTATTTATCATTGTCTTTATTGATCTTTGATCAGATTGTCTCAAGATAAACCGAATGATGAAAATTTTTTTTGTGTGCATAAATTAGTAGAGGATACATTGTCTTGTCAAATGTCTCTAGACACACCATGGTGCAGACACAGAGCTCTTGGTTCTCATTTGTTTCTATGATGGCGTGCATATGTCTTAGTAGAATTTATGTCAGTTTTCGATTGGTGTCAATAGGAATTGATATCCATCCATCTCACATACCCATCCTAGCTGAAGTGAGTGCTAGCAGTGAGGCTGTGTAATTTGAATTTTAATTCATTTCAAGGATTCTCTATGGAATTTAGATCTGGGTTTTAAGGCTAGTCCAGTTTTGCACACCCATTTTGTCAAATTATGACTGTGCAAGTCTCGGTGTATGAATAGAGCAATTATCTTGCTAAGAGAGAAAGGGTCCTCTCCCGAAATATTGGCATAGAATTGAGTGAGTATCATTGTCCAGATTGTCCACATACTTGACAGAGTTCATATTTTCAACCACATGAACTAATGAACCCTGGACAGGCTTCCAGAAGCACTCATGCAGCATGGTGATTTAGAGAAGGTAGTGTGTAAGAGATACATTTATCACTTGTGTGAAAATTATTTTTCTAGTTTTTTTCTTTAAATCAAGATAAAGTATCAGTGTTTTTATTATTTTATACGCTACATAGTATGGCTTCTTTTTTACTAGCTTAGGATTTATTAAATATTGAAATCATCAATTTAAAAAAAAACTTTTTAAATGAGTTAAAACTAGATTCAACTCCATTTCAAAGAGAGTTTGAACCACCCTTAGAGAAGTGTAATCGTCTAGTAAAAATTGAAATAAACTGTTTAAGAATTATGCGTGGCACATTAGACATTTTATAACATTGATATATTAAATTTTTATCCATCTTTTTTGCATTCAATTTAAAATAGGGTGTTTACATACTCTTTATTATCTTCATTACCCATGTAATATAATACACTAGTGCAAATTTCGTTGCCATCTATATGTGATTGTGTCAAAACTCATCACGATTTTGGAATAGTATTTTCTACATTTTTATCTTTACTTGAGGTCACCCGTTTTAAAACACTTTTTATTTTGATTCTGTCACTAATCTTAAATTGGTTTAAATTTGACCCACCAGTTTCGTAATGATTAATTTCTCCTTATTTATTTTAAATGAAGTTTTATGTTTTTACAGAACTTGTCTATTTCATTTTTAATGTATGTTTTTCTTTTTGTAAATCCCATAAGAAGGAACTGTTACATCTTAAAAAGTATATAATTTGTTGTTCATTTTACTGAAATTCTGTTACAAATATTTACTCATTGGGTTGTGCATGTTTCAGCTAAGGATGTTTTAAATATTCTGAATACTCCCATTATTCAACGTGGTAAGCACAATCAGCTGTTGTTGCTAATGCTCAAGAAGCAAAACCTTGTATACGAGTTTTGCCGGCAAATGTCCGATTTGCACACTTTCATGATACAAAGACTTTGCGCTTCAGATACAGACAATAAAGCTGTCACCGTAAAGGTAACTGTTACATGCTGCATATATCGCCTTATTATTTCTCTTTAGTTCTGTTAATTTGTTGTTCTGTTATGAAATAGTATTTTTTTTACTACTTTTAACAGTTTAAATACCAATATCTATCTTTAATAATGATTGTGTAATTGATTGTAGTCTTATAATTTAAAATATAATACACTATTTCAAGAAAAAAATTTCTGAAAATCATTAGGTTTGCCTGATGACCTAAATTTTAAGTAATACTTTATCTTATTATTCACCACATCCATAGGGATCACTGCTCTAGTACATCTTCATCATGACATTGGGCTCTTCCATTATAGCAACCTATACTAAGTCCATTCCATGTTTGTAATATTATTTTAACTGTCATTATGACAAATTTAGTGTTCATTCTATTGAATGTGCAAAATTAAATTGAAAATTTTTTATTCCCCAGGAAAACTATTAAGACAAGGGTTAAATATTTTTTTGTGGTTCCCAAACAAAACAAACAAATTACAAGATAAAAAAAAATTTAAATGACTATTACTTTCAATTTTACCATACAATAAATTAACCATCTCTTTCAAGGTGGGGCTTCCTAAATTCAAATTCTGGGTGGTTCTCTATGAGGATTTGTATCACTTATCAAGCAGCATTGATAAAAAAATTAAAATGAGGTATACTGTTGAAATTTCCATTTATCTTAATCCTCTTTTAAGTCCACTTTAGTGCAATGAATACTTCTTTCAATATAGAAGACAATTTTAGGGGATACTTTGTGTTGATGTATTCATTTTTGCAGTTTGATTTTAGCCTTCCTATTATGTTCGTTTTGATTTTTGTTAATCATGCATGTAAAACTGAATATAATCGTGCTTTTTGTTACTTGCTGAAGTTGTATTTATTGTAATTTTAGGTTGTAATTTTGATTTCAACTATTAAATTTCAATGTTTCAGCTAGAAATAAGCTTGCGAGAGAGTATTCAACAATTAAAAGTCATTCCACTCAATTTTGAAAATATTGTTAGTGCTATCAAAGCTGAAACTTTAACATGGGTAAGTATAATGGGTATTATCTTTACTTTCATTACTGTTAAAGAGCTGATCCACCTTGGAAATTTATGGCATAACCATTAAGTTATTTAAGCTTGCAATTTTAAGCTAGACTTAGAAAACAATAAAAACCCTTCTACCAAGCATATGGAAAACTCTTCTTTCATTATTAATTTTAAAAATAAAATGAAGAACAGAAACAGACATGTTAACTTTTTGTAAACTCTTAAATTCATTTTCTTATAATTTTGGTGAATTGTTTATGGAATATTTATAAAATTATTAAATGAATAATTTATCTCAAAATTCTTTGTCATTGATTGATTGTGGATGATAGAGTAAAATGGGGATCTGTGAAAAATTTTATTCCTTTATTGTTGCATGTTATTTTAAATTTTAAGGATTATTGTTTCTAAAGTAAATAATTAAAATATAATTATTTTTTAAAGATTAATTGGTATAATGTTTTAAATTTCAATGTTATTTTTTTGCTTATATTGGTAATTAATAATTAGCTTTATGCTTTAATATGCTAATGTTAATTTTGTTCCTACAAAGATTTGTACATTTAATGAATAGAAATAAGTAAAGCTGTAATGAGCTTTTTATAAGCAAAGCTATTATTAGAGGGGAATATCTTTTTTGCAAATATTTGAAAGCTGTTTAAGTTTATATACACATTAGAAATTTGAATATATACATATTTTAATTCAAATATCCATTTTGTTTTGAATTACGTTTTATTTGAGTGTGTTTGATTTTATTAAAATCAATGCACTATTAAAAATTTTATGAACTTATTGTACACATGAAACAAACCAAAATATTTTTTGCGTTGATTACTTTTTATTTTTCATAAGGTTTTTATTTTTAGATACTGAATGATTAATATTTGCTTTGTAGGATAAATCACCAGTGAAAAACTTTTGTTTAGCATTCCAAAGATATGAAAAGTATTTGGATAAGATGCTACCTTTTCTTATTTTAAGGTGAGACCTGCATTACCTTCTGTCTTTCACCCAGAAATATCACAAAATAAATTATTTTTTCACATAATCTGGTAAATTTTTATTTATAAATGAAGGATGCTCAAAATATTTTATTTGTTTAGTCATTTAAATATATTTCTGTTATTAACCAACCTTTTTTTTATTGGGTCATTCTTTTAATTTTTAAAGGTAACATTTTTGCCAGCTTTTGCATTACTGAAACAACTGAGAAAACATTTCTCATATTTTCTTCTGACCAAGGATTGTTATTAAAAATATTTAATTTCAAAAGAATTTATAAAAGCTAAAAATTATAAGAATAAATGCCTACATGAAGTTTTTGTTGTTACTCATGCTATTTGCCAATCAGCAAGCCTATTTGAAATCAAGCAAATTTTTAAGGCAGAGGGTACGTTTCTTGTTTTTTTCAGTGACCCCATTTATGACCAAGAATGGCCAGTTTACAGAGAGAAGCAAATTATACTTCATGCCGCAGATATATACATCAACAGATCGTAATTTTGACTTGAACCAGAAAACGTTACATGAAGTAATAATAGTTTCATTACAAGCCTGATGTTAAGGAAATCAGCTGGCTTGTACAACCATACATTGTTTGTTCCCTTGGAACAATTTCTTACGTATGTGTTTTTAAAAGAAAAATTGAATCGCTCTTTTTAGATTTTAATTTTATTTTATTATTATTTTTGTAGAAAGCGCTCCCTACAGTTTATGACTTATTTGTTATTTATTTTTTCTGTTTCTGTGAAGAAAAAAAATGTGTCATATTTCATGTTACATAATTGCATATTTCAATAAGAAATGGATCTTTAAAAATTAATGGTTATCCCTGAAAGTAAATGTCTAAAAAATAGTTGCTAAAAGAATTACCTGAATTAATAACGAAAAGGTGAGGTTGAGTCTCAATTATCCTAAATACTACATAGAAAAAATATTTTTGATAGAATAAAGTTATCTAGTTAAAGGAATCTGTCTTTTAGTTTAGTTCATTAGCATTTGTCCCGCAGTGGACTGATCGTTAAGACACGGTTCCCAGCAGATCACCGAAGTCAAGCATCACTGGCTACGGTCAGTGTGCGGGTGGGTGACCACTTGGATCAGTCTGCGCAGGGACCGAGGGTGTGCGGTATTGGTCCTCGTTAAACTGTGCTGCTGTAAAGTGCTCGACTTCGCGCGCAGGTCGTCGGGCTACCGAAGCGGGGGTGCCATCCATTCCGCAGAGGATCAAAATTGTGATGGCATGTCTTCGGATCATCCTCCGGGATGTTTCCCAGACCGTCGCCAATAGCCCATTGTGCAGCTCTAGTGCGACGTAAAGTAACAACAACAATCATTAGCATTTATAGAATTCAATGAGATGTATTCTGAGTTTTAAGAATGTAGATCTTCAGAGCATGAGTGCTTAATATTAATCTTCCTGTTAAACAAATTAAGTAGTTAAAGATATTTATCATGAAAAAGTCAATTTGCTAAATAATATGATTTAAATTAACAAATATGAATTTAACTTTTAAATTAATTTAAATTTAAACCTAGATTAAAATACAGACTTTAAAATCAATATTTAAAAAGAAGTAAAATGAGTGATTTAAAGTAAATGATTGTTTAAGGTAATGTAATGTGTATGTTTCTGATAACATATTGCTGTTGACACCCCCCCCCCCCCCCNCCCCCCCCCCCCGAAAAAAAATTTGCAACTATACTTTATTTCACTAAAGACTGGCAATTTTAATAAGGAGCTTGCTAATCTTTGATGGTTCTAACACTTATCTCTTTGAGTTGTGCAGCAAATGAATAATTTTTAAGGGCAAAGGACAATATGATTTATTTAACGTAATTCTTAGTTCAAATGTTAGTTATTTTGAAGATTTACCGTATATTCCGGCGTATAACGCGCACTTTTAATGCAAAAAATAACATTGGAATTTACGGGTGCGCGGTATACGCCGAATATAAAAAATTATAAACTAAAAAAATTTAAATATAGAAAAATACTTTTATTTTAAAGAAATAACAAACCTATATACTTTATTGATTTTCGTTATTATATAAATAGTTCATTATATTCTTCTTCCGTTATTTCTTCAGGCACGTCCTCACAATCTGTTTCGTCTTCATCATCTGTGTTACCCTCATCCATGAATAAACAGTCATCTTCTGATCCGTCCAGATTATTTGAAATGCTGCATTTTTTGAATGATTTTCTAACCATCTCAGGCTTAATTTCATCCCATGCTTTTAATATCCATTCACACACTGTTTCCAAACTTGCATGACGCATATGTCCTCCTTTCGTAAAGGTTTTCTCGCCCTCCAACATCCAAGTGTTCCACTGTTTTTTTAAATTGGCTTTAAGAGCAGAAGTCCAATGGCTGAACTAATGGTGTCAATCTGCCCGTAATAACTGCCACATCGGTGTTACATTCTTTCAAAAAAATTTTTTTGCATTATCTGTAAGGTGGGACCTAAACATGTCCCACACTGAAGGTCTTTCTGGTTTTCTATAGATACTAGACGAGATATTGCACATGTACAATCCAAATTTTCATGCGTGTTATACGAAGAGTATATCTTAAAATTTAAAAAAAGTTATTAGAAATTACGGGTGCGCGTTATCCGCCGGGGCGCGTTATCCGCCGGGGCGCGTTATGCGCCGGAATATACGGTAATCATTTTATAACACATTCCGTTTTAAGGATACATTTTTTGAAAGCCACTTAATGATTTACCTTAAGAAGCAGGATTCCTTTTTAAAAAATTTGCTCTTCCTTCCTGTTTTGATGAAATTAGATGGAGTGTATGCGCAAATTTGTGGAAAGCCATTACGCATAATTAACTGTAGCTTTTTATTGTTTCAAGTGTATTACAACTATTCTTTGATTATTTACAAAGAAGCATTTGCTCAGCTTCAATTGTTTCCTTCAACTATCAAAAATTTATTTTTTGCTATTTCATTTAGTCTTACAGTTTATTATTTGCAAAAAAAATTATAATCAATGTCCTTTTTTAAAATTTTTTTTAAATAAAAATCTGGTGTCTTTAACGTATAAGAGAAGGTGGAGTAACAGTGACTAAGATTCAAAGGCTTTATGGAGTTAAACTGTGCCAGATATGGAGTTAAGTTGTGTGTATGGAGTTGAACTGTCAGGTTTAACCAAGATATTCTTTGTTTAGTTGTGTCCAATTTTTCGTTATTGAAGAGTCATAGATGTACATTTTTTTTATAAAAAATTTTTTTCTAGAAAAAGCCAAACTTCCTGGTCTTACGCAATTAGTGGTGTAAAACCCGGTATGCATGTTAATTCTATAAGAAATTTAACAATATTAGAATTTTCATTCTACTTTATATGGCAATTTAAGAAATTTATGCATATAATTTTATGTGATATAAACAAGGCGATGCTCCAGGAAAAAAAGGAGAGAGAAGGACAATTGTCCCGGTACCCAACCGGAATTCTTTACGAAATATAGTGCTAATTAATGTTTCTTTAAAAGAAAATTGCAGAGAATTTCTTTTATCTATATGAAAACTACAATTTTGCGTAAAAAGTCTTCAAACACTCTACAAAATCTGAAAGGAAGTTTATTTTTGCGTTGGAAAGGGATTCGTAAAACTTTTGTTTAGCCTTGTATGTAGTTATCTTCTTCCTTCACTGTACTGCATCTTTTGTGAGCCTAGCATACTTTCACATCAGGAGAGAGGGGAAAGACAACAGGGTAACACCTGGTCAGGGGTTATTGAAACAAAACAGAACAGTGCTACTATTTTGCTAAATCTTTATGATTTGTTAGGGTATGATTATTTAGTAAACATATAATAATCTTGACAAAAAATATTTTTTATAACTGTAATGACCAATAAATAAGAATAGTTTTTTGATGAAAGAACATTAGAGAGTTGACATAGGTAAACAAACTTACTTACTCAGGTGCTGTGAAATAATCAACAACAATATTCCAATTGGAATAAAATTCAGAGTTTGTTCACGAGATCTCGGAACTAATTTCTGCAAAATCAAGGTACCTGGTTTTACTTCATTCTCTCCTACATATACATTTTTGTTCCTGTGTGCATTTGTATTCAGTCAGTCACAAATATTTGTATGCATCTTCATTTCATTTCTATGATACAAAAATTTATATGGAAATTTTTTATTTTTTAAAATGTTCCAGATGGGCCATGATTGAAGCTTTCAGAAATTGTATGTTGTATTAATTTTACCTCAAAATTAGTGAAAGTTAAAAAACATTTTGGTACTTTTTTGAATGACTTAAAAAGTTATTGGTTTTATAAAATAAAGTGTATTTTCATAACTAGTAAGTAATTAATTTTTGTAAAAATTTTTTTTTTATAAAAGTAAATATTTTTGAAATTCAGTTAATCATGCAATTTCAGGAAGTTTTGATGAGAAATTTTCAAAACATCTAATATTAAAATATAATATTTTTTTCTCCATAAAATTGAAAATAATGCTCTTCTCAAAGATGTTTTATTCACTGAATGTAGGATTCAAAATAAAGATTCATGGACTTCCTCTAAGATGGTGGAGTTAGTTCCAAAACTTATTGTGGCAGCAAAGAAGTTAATGTCTTGTTTCAAAAAGCTTTTCCGCTACATTCAACTGCTCTCTTGTATTGGTAAGACCATTCTTCTCATATTCAAGAAATATGTTGTTTTTTTAGATAAAATAAGTTTTAATTCTAGTTTTCAATTTTCTGTTTGAGTAGATCTTTTTTTATACTTAAAAGAAATGCAAAGTTTATAATTACTAGCAAATAAATTTTATATCTACAACAAAATAAATGTTTTACTTCAATTTTATGACTTTTGGAAGATTATTTTTGAAGAAAATTATTAATCAGATTTGCAAATTTGCAATTTATTGTCATTAAGAATAAACTATTCACCAGAGAGTATTTACTTTTAAAATAAATAATTAAGTAAATGTTTTTTAAAATAGTTTATGACCAGTTAAAATATTCTGTGCAGTTGAAGTAATTTTTTTTAAAAAAGAAAACTTTTGATAATTTTANTTGTAATTTTAGGTTGTAATTTTGATTTCAACTATTAAATTTCAATGTTTCAGCTAGAAATAAGCTTGCGAGAGAGTATTCAACAATTAAAAGTCATTCCACTCAATTTTGAAAATATTGTTAGTGCTATCAAAGCTGAAACTTTAACATGGGTAAGTATAATGGGTATTATCTTTACTTTCATTACTGTTAAAGAGCTGATCCACCTTGGAAATTTATGGCATAACCATTAAGTTATTTAAGCTTGCAATTTTAAGCTAGACTTAGAAAACAATAAAAACCCTTCTACCAAGCATATGGAAAACTCTTCTTTCATTATTAATTTTAAAAATAAAATGAAGAACAGAAACAGACATGTTAACTTTTTGTAAACTCTTAAATTCATTTTCTTATAATTTTGGTGAATTGTTTATGGAATATTTATAAAATTATTAAATGAATAATTTATCTCAAAATTCTTTGTCATTGATTGATTGTGGATGATAGAGTAAAATGGGGATCTGTGAAAAATTTTATTCCTTTATTGTTGCATGTTATTTTAAATTTTAAGGATTATTGTTTCTAAAGTAAATAATTAAAATATAATTATTTTTTAAAGATTAATTGGTATAATGTTTTAAATTTCAATGTTATTTTTTTGCTTATATTGGTAATTAATAATTAGCTTTATGCTTTAATATGCTAATGTTAATTTTGTTCCTACAAAGATTTGTACATTTAATGAATAGAAATAAGTAAAGCTGTAATGAGCTTTTTATAAGCAAAGCTATTATTAGAGGGGAATATTTTTTTTTTTTGTAAATAGTTGAGAGCTGTTAAAGTTTATATAAATATTAGAAATTAGAATATATACATATTTTTCTACTTTAATTCAAATATCCATTTTGTTTTGAATTACGTTCTATTTGTGTGTGTTTGATCTTATTAAAATCAATGTACTATTAAAAATTGTTTGAACTTACTGTACACATGAAACAAACCAAAATATTTTTTGTGTTGATTACTTTTTACTTTGCATAAGGTTTTTATTTTTGGATACTGAACGATTAATATTTGCTTTGTAGGATAAATCACCAGTGAAAAACTTTTGTTTAGCATTCCAAAGATATGAAAAGTATTTGGATAAGATGCTACCTTTTCTTATTTTAAGGTGAGACCTGCATTACCTTCTGTCTTTCACCCAGAAATATCACAAAATAAATTATTTTTTCATGTAATCTGGTAAATTTTTATTATTTATAAATGAAGGATGCTCAAAATATTTGATTTGTTTAGTCATTTAAATAAATTTCTGTGATTAACTACCTTTTTTTTATTGGGTCATTCTTTTACTTTTTAAAGGGAGGGTTTTTGTCAGCTTTTGTTTTACAGAATAAAACTGAGAAAGCATTTCTCATATTTTCTTCTGACCAAGGATTGTAATTAAAAATATTTAATTTCATAAGAATTTATAATAAAAGTTAAAAAATTATAAGAATAAATGCCTACATGAAGTTGTTGTTGTTACTCATGCTACTTGCCAATCAGCAAACCTATTTAAAATCAAGCAAATTTTTAAGGCAAAAAGCCCTCTTCTCGTTTTTTCCGTGGCCCCATTTATGGCCAAGAATGGCCATTTTATGGAGAGAACCAAATCATACTTCATTACACAGATGTATACATCAACAGATCGTAATATTGACTTGAACCAGAGAAAGTTACATGAAGTAATAATGGTTTCATTACAAGCCTGATGTTAAGGAAATCAGCTTGCTTGTACAACTATTTGTTTGTACTCTTGAAATAATTTCTTATGTATGTGTTTTTAAAAGAAAAATTAAATTAAATGCTGCTTTTAGATTTTAATTTAATTTTATTAATATTTTTAAAGAAAACGCTCCCTATAGTTTATGACTTATTTGTTATTTATTTTCTCTGTTTATGCTTATTTCTGTTAAAAAAAGTTTTTGTCATATTTCATGTTACATAATTGCATATTTCAATAAGAAATGGGACTTTAAAAATTAATGGTTATCTCTGAAAGAGTAAATGTCTAAAAAATAGTTGCTAATAGAATTACATAAATTAATAACGAAAATGTGAGGTTGAGTCTCAATTATCCTAAATATGCACAGAAAAAATATTTTTGATAGAATAAAGTTATCTAATTAAAGGAATCTGTCTTTTAGTTTAGTACATTAGACTTTTTTCATTAGCATTTAAAGAATTCAGTGAGATGTATCCTGAATTTTATGACTGTAGATCTTTAGAGCTTGAGAGCTTAATATTAATTTTCCTGTTAAACAAATTAAGGAGTTAAAAATATTCATCATAAAAAAAGTCAATCTGCTAAATAATATGATTTAAATTAGAAAATATGAATTTAACTTTTAAATTAATTTAAATTTAAACCTAAATTAAAATCCGGAATTCAAAATCGATTTTTAAAAAAGTAAATATTACAAAAAAGTTATTTAGAGTAAAGGGTTACAGATAATCTAATGTGTTTGTTTCTGATAATATATTGCTATTGACACCTTCAAAAAATTGCAACTATTACATACTTTATTTTATTAAAGACTGGCAATTTTAATATGGAGCTTACTAATCTTTGATGGTTCTAACCCTATCTCTTTGAGTTGTGTACCAAATAAATATTTTTAATGGCAAAAGACCATATGATTTGTTGAACATTATTATTAATTCAAATGTCAGTTTTTGATAATTAATTAAGACACATTCCATTTTAAGGATACATTTTTGAAGGCCTCTTAGGGACTTACCTTGAATGGAATCCTTTAAAAAGATTTTCAGTTTAGCTCTTTGCTCTACCTTCCTGCTTTGGTGAAATCAAATTAGACGGAATGTATGCGCACATTTGGGGAAAACCGTTACATTTAACAAGCATAGCTTTTTATTGTTTCAAGTGGATTACTACTATCCTTTGATTATTAGCAAAGAAACATTAGCACAACTTTAATTGTTTCCTTCTACCATCAAAAATTTATTTTATGCTATTTCATTTAGTCTTACAGTTCATAATTTGTGGAAAAAAATAATAATCAATGTCTTTTTTTTAATAAAGATCCGATGTATTTAGGTTAGGAATAATACTATTCTTTACTTAATCTTCTTTTACATATAAGAGAAGGTGACGGTAATGGTAACTGAGATTCACAGGTTTTTTAGAGTTAAACTGTGGGACTTAAAAGCTGCTGGGTTTAACCAAGATTTTCATTGTTTAGTTCTGCACAATTTTTCATTATCAAAAATCATAGATGTAAATTTTTTTTTACAAAATTTTTTTTTTCTAGAAAAAGTCAAACTACCTGGTCTTACGGCACTAGTGGATTAAAACTGGGTACACATGTTAATTCTACGAGAAATTAAAAAATATTAGAATTTCAGTTTTACTTGATATGTCAATTTAAGAAATTTATGCATGTAATTTTCATGTGATATAAGCAAGGCGGTACTTCAGTACAGGAAGGAGAGAAAAGTACTATTGTCCCAGGGCCCAACTGGAATTCCCTACAAAGATACAGTGTTAATTAAGGTTTCTTTAGAAGAAAATTGTGGAGGATTTCTTTTTATCTATATGAAAACTACAATTTTGCATAAAATATCTTCAAACATTCTACAAAATCTGAAGAGAAGTTTTTTTGTGTGTTGGAAAGGGGCCAGTGAAACCTTTGTTTAGCTTTGTATGTAGTTATCTTCTTCCTTCACTGCACTGCATCTTTTGAAGGCCCAGCATACATTCGCATCAAAGGGGGAGGGAGACAACAGGGTAGTACTTGGTCTTACTCCACGAGCAGGGGTTATTGAAACAAAACAAAACAGCGATACTATTTTGCTAAATCTTTATCCTTTGTTAGGATATGATTCTGTAATAAACATATAATAATCTTGACTAAAATTATTTTTTATAACTATAATGACCAATAAATAAGAATAGTTTTTTTTAACAAGAGAACATTAGAGAGTTGACATAGTTAAACAAATTCACTTACACAGGTGCCACGCATTAATTAACAACAATACTCTAATGTGATTGGTTCTTTTTTTTATTTAGTAGAATAAAAGTCAGAGTTTGCTCACAAGAAATCAGAACTAATTTCTACAAAATTGATGTACCTGGTTTTACTTCATTCTCTCCTACATATAAATTTTTGTTTCTGTGTGCATTTGTATGCAGTCAGTTAAAAATGTTTGTATGCACCTTCATCTTATTTCTATAAAAAGAACTTTTACACAAGAAATTTTTTTTATTTTTTTTTTATAAATTTTCAAGAGGGGCTATTATTAAAGCTTTCAGAAATTGTCTGTAGTACTAACTTTACTGCAAAATTAGTGGAAGTTAAAGAACATTTTGGTACCTTTTTGAATGTGTTAAAAAATTATTGGTTTTGTGAAATAGAGTGCACCTTTGATAACTAGTAAGCAATTAATTTTTAGAAAAATTATTTCTTTTATTAAAAATGAATGTTTTAAAAATTCAAGTTAATCATACAATTTCAGAAAGTTTTAATGAGTGCATTCAAAATATGTAATTTTGAACTATAATTTTTTTCCATAAAATTAAAAATAATGCTCTTCTCAAAGATATGTGATTCACTGAATGTAGGATTCAAAATAAAGAGTCGTGGACATCTTCTAAGATGGTGGAGTTAGTTCCAAAACTTATTGTGGCAGCAAAGAAGTTAATGTCTTGTTTCAAAAAGCTTTTCCGCTACATTCAACTGCTTTCTTGTATTGGTAAGACTTAACCATTCTTCACAAGTTCAAAAAATGTGTTTTTTTTTTTCAGATAAAATGCGTTTGGATAAATTCTAGTTTTCCATTTTCGGTTTGAGTAGTTCTTTTTTTCTACTTACTACTTTAATTACTAACAAATAAATTTTATATCTACAACAAAATAAATGCTTAGCTTTAATATTTTAACTTTTGGAGGATTATTTTTGAAGAAAAATATTAATCAGATTTGCAAATGTGCAATTTGTTGTCATTAAGAATAAGCTGTTCACTATAGAGTATTTACTTCTAAATGTTTTCAAAATAAATATTAAAGTAAATGTTTTTCAAAATAATTTATAACCAGTTAAAATATTTATTCTTTACATTTCTAATCTTGGAAACAAATTTTAATTTTTTGAAAAATCCTTTGACTCTTATGTAAACGAGCTCTGCCTTTACAAAATTTTTGTTTCTATTTATAATTATACGTTATTTTCCCCTCACTCACTTTTAGTTGATGTGTACTTTTTAAAACCATGATTTGCATTTAATTATTATTTTGAAAGGAAATAAATTTAGTTTCTTAAATAATTTTGTGTTTATTACAAAATTATTTTAAAATAATATTTTTTAGTGCAGTTTATCGATTAAACTGTCAAAAGATTAAAAATCCTTTTGACATTTCTTAATGAAATTTTAGTAATGGAACTGTGACCTATTTTTATTGAACTCTCAGTCATACATGTATGCCTTTATGCATTGATTTATTTTATGAAGCACCCAGATTTCTGATACATCACTTTAACGCAGATTTTTTTTTTTTGTGTGAATATCCGTGTTGTAATTATATAATTTTAAATGTAATTTTGTCATATTTAAATTCATATTTCAGTGATAAAATTTGCACTGTTTTTGTAGGCTTTATTTAATTTACTAACTCATGATTTGTGTATTATTTTATTAATATATATAGTTTTAATATGTAAGGTAATATAGATATGTTTTTTTAATTTGCTTTTTTTATATTAAGAAAGTTATATAATTCATTTATTTCTCAAATTTCATTCCTAATAATGAACAACCTAAGATTTTTTCTTATGGATTTTATACATCTGGTGTGGTTGGGTAATTTCGCCTTTGAGAGTCACATTTAAGTAATAAATCGAAAAATTCCACCATCTTCATTCTTCCACATCAGGCAGTTACTCCTACTTTAGTCACTACCCATATCATCATTACAGAGGTGGCTTCATTGGCCTGGTACTCCCTGCACACATTTTCTAGTTTTTGCATCTATGTTTTAACATATTTTATTTATAATTTTATTGTTTTGTTTTCTATGAATAGTTTTCTAAAAAATGTGAAGATTACTGAATTTATAATGCCATGCCTAGGTTTTAATTTTTTTATATGATTCATATGGAAAACAATTTTTTTTTAAATTTTAAAATACTAAAAATTATTTCTTTTAAAAAATGTATATAAAATTCCTTAAATTCATTAGAAGTTTTGTTTGAATATAACAGATAAGAGGCCTCTGAAGTCCTAAAAATATGAAGCTTTGAGCCTCATTTGCCCCAACCTTAAGCAAAAGCATTTCTTCTCAGAATAATTTATTTTAAATTTCCAGGCTCATCAGAGAAGGACATTTATCATGCTTCACAGACAGTTGTTGTGAAAAAGATTTTCTTGGCTGTGCAATCCTTACACACGCTACTTGATGGTAAGTTATTATCTTCTAGTTAGTAATTGTTTACCTCTTAGAGGGATAATTATTAGATTGTAATCACTATTTTTCTTGTTGCTTAATTTCGTTTTTATGTAGCAAGCATCTAAAAATAAAATATAATCTAAAATGTGTTGGATCTACTTGACTGGATACATTTGTTAGATTGATTTCGTGAAAACTAACCTAACAAAATGCTGAGAAAACTAAAGAATCAATTCACTTTTTTCTTCTGTAAGCATAACCTTTACATTGAAATTTTGTAAAGTTTTTTTGAAGTAAATAAACTAAACATAGATATAAATATTATTCCATTATGAGACAGTGACAAATTCTTTGGCCACTGAGTCTAAATATAATTCATTTCATAGATCTTCAATTCTTGAATAATATATTAAACCTCATTATTATTTCTACGCAGATACTAGGAAATTATTTGGATCAAAAATTGCCTTGGATCACCAGTTGCCCACGTTAAGCGATTCAGAAAAGAGCACGGATGATTGCATACTCTCTACTCTGGTATCAGTCGCATCCACTTCAAAAAAAGTAAGAGATTTTGTTTGACGTGAAATCATTGAAAATTTTGATCTTTTGGTACTTGTACTTATCGACAGCTTATTATGAACTGTATATTTTTAAAGCTGATTGCGGGTAAGTTCAGGAAATATGGCATATCTGGTGACACTTCAAAATAAAATTTAAGGGGTTTATAACATTTATCTTTTTACATTATTTATATGTATATATATGTGGGGGATAGTGCAGCATAGGAGTAAATGATGACGATCATTTAATAAACATAACAATTTAATAGAAATAAAAAGATACGTAGAAGGATATAGCAGTTAGCATTATTGACATGTCTCGTGAGAGCTGCCTTCTCGCAGTGGTCTCCGGAATGCATGTGACTAAGAATTAGATTGTTCTATGGTATAAAGTAAGAGTTAATTATAAATTCGGGAGTTTCCCTTCGGGACTTCCCCTTCTGGTCTGGCTGGCGCCTTTCAATGTCAAGAGGATGATGCAACTTCCTTTAATATTACAAGATGGTGGATGACGCAATGTTCGCAGTTGTTACACTATGGTATTGAAACCTACATATATATCCAGAAATCATATGGTTCTGTTAGTAGTGGTGTTATTTATGTGTCAGACTGGAGACTTATTGAGAGATGCGTTATATATATATATTTATCAAAAGTTTTTTTTTTGAAAAAGAAGCAAACAAACATCAACATCTAAAATGCAAGATTCACAGAAAAAATTTATTCTTACCATTAAATTTATAAAAATTTTTAAAAGGCAAATTGATGAATAGATTATTGCATAAAAAACATAGCCACTTTCAAGTCAAGCTTTTAAATAAAGTACGCTAATTATCAACCTAATTCTTGATAACTGATATAAAGCTTGGAAACTTAATTTTTGCTAATTTCATATTATAAAATTCTTTTTGAAAGCTTATGATATATATTTTTTTAAATACTTTTATTTTAATGATATATATTTTTGAAAATACTATTCAATGAGCTTTAGTTAAGAATATGAAGAAGGTCATTATTAGTTTCAATTAATGTGTTAAAATACCACATCTTGCCATGCTATGGAAAAATAAATGCAAGTGATGAAAAAATTCATATTTTTCATTTTTATATATTTGGCATTTATATTTGATAAGCTATCGATAGCAAAAAAGTTTTTTTTTCTAAAAAAATTTTGTTTCATCAGTTTTTAAAAACTCTATTTTAGTTTTCATAGCATTAGCAATAGAAAAAAAAATAGTTGTCGAGCTATTTTTTTGAAATCTATTGTGTAGCACTTGTGTTGTTTTTTTCCAACTGCACAACAGTGTAGGTACCTATTTTTATTTTAGAAAAGCACCATATCCCTTAACCTTTTTCTATCTCTGCAATTCACTCTTGTTTATTTCAGCTGGCTGATTTGATGGAAACTAACATTGGGATACTTTCCAGTGATGTTTGGTACAAACCTAAGTTTGTGGCAAAATATGGAAAAGTGTCTGTTAGCCCTTGTGTTTGGCAATTCAAAGAAAGGGGCTGCAACTATTTACAGCGTATTGCTCAGGTAATTTTTCTGATCTCTCTTTTTTTAACAAAATGTATTTTGTTCAATTGAATGTAAAAATGGTTATGATTTTCCAGGAAGAATCCCCTTCCATTCCTTATGAAGTAGCTCTGAAAAATTATCAGACACTTTGTGATCACGCTGACAATCGAGAAAATCTTACACAACAGGTAGTTGTTCTTATATATATTATTAAATGCATTTTGTAAAGAAACATTAGGTCTTAAAATTTCCATTCAATAAACTTTATTCATTGTTGTAAAATGTTTCCTGTTTATTATTATTATATTTTAATGTTTATATTGCTAACAATTATTTTTTTTTTAGTTGGAAGAATATCAAAACAAGCTGATGCAGTTGGAATTGGTAATACATATTTGAAAGAAAATTAACTAAATTATTATTTTTTAATTTATACTTTAACAGTTTTAATTTGATACCTTGCTTCATTGAAGAATTAGAATTTTTTTAGACTTGTTTTTTTCTATCACTTATTTATGGTCGAGGAAATAAATTGTAAGAGATGTTAACATTTGTAGAGCAAATTGTGATAATCTAGATGATATCTTCATTAAACAGCCAAGTTAATAAAAAATGCAGCTATTCTGCTGTGTAGAAAAGTAATGAGGTATCGAATCATTGAAGTTAGATATGCTAGCTTCATTTATTTATTGAATTGGAGTTGCTCCATTTATTGATCTAAATATAATTTTATGAAGTTTTATCGAAAAATGTACTAATATTAAATAAAAACTGACAAATTGGTTCACTCATATCATTTGTTTGAGGAGTTGGTTAGAATATTTTATGTAATCAAATTTCAAGATACTATGGATGGAGAAATATTTAACATCACTTTTTCATTAACATTTCAAAATCATTGAGAGCCATCATATCAAATAAATCATAGTTACCAATCCAGAAGTTCCAGTTTCCAAAAGTATTTAAAGTAATAAGAAAATAATAATTGAAGGAAGCTGAAGTTTTAAAAATGTGACTACATTGTTATTAGATAATTTTTAAGTATGTTTGAATTAATTATATGTTTTAAAGGTCAATCTTATTTTGAATCAAATTTTTAAAATCAGAAAGGAAATTATAATGCAGTAATCATTCATTTTGAATAATTGTAATAAATTTCTCATTAAAGCTTGTAGAAGTTAACTATTGGGTTGTTTGGAAAGTAATTTCGTTTTTTTTGGGTAATAGTAAAGATAATTTTCGTATAGTGAATAAATATTTTATTAAATTATTTATTGGCCATTCTGGTCCAACGCCTTTTGCCATCGTTTTGGTAGTAGCATGATTCATAAAATTTTTCTATTATTGTTGCTCATAAAATTTTTGATCTTTGCTGGCAAAAAAACTGATCCAGGTGATTTTTGACCTCCTCATTTGAAGTAAAGGTTTTACAATCCAAGGAATTTTTTAGTGACCGGAACAAATAATAATCCGAAGGCGCCAGATCTGGAGAATATGGTGGGTGTGGCAGTGTATCCCATTCAAGCTGTAACAGCTTTTGGCGAGTGACCAAACTTGTATGAGGTCTCGCATTATCTTTGTGGAACACTATATCTTTTCTGTTGATTAATTCTGGCCCTTTCTGTTGAAGAGCATCATTCAGTTTATCCAACTGACGACAGTAGACTTCTGAATTAAGTGATGTGTCCTCTGCTAAAAGCTAAAAAAAGCAACTATTCCTTTGAAATCCCACCAAACCGACAGTATCACCTTTTTTTGATGGATATTGGCTTTCGAAATGCTTGGAGCCGGTTCATCTTTTTTGCTCCATGATCTCTTGCGTTTAACAATGTTATAAACAACCCATTTTTCGTCTCCAGTAATGATGCTCTTCAAAAATGGATAATTTTCGTGACGTGTGAGAAGCGAATCACAGACGTCAAAGCGATGACACAAATTTCTCTCCGTGAGAACATGGGGAACACATATATCGAGCTTTGAGGTTAAACCCAGGCCTTTCAAGTGGTCATAAACAGTTGAATTCGATAAATTTAACCTCTCACTGATCTCACGTGTTGTTATTCGCCGATTTGCATCAACTAATGCCTTTATCGTGTCTTTATCAGCTTCAGCGAGCCTTCCAGAACGTGGTGCATCTTCGACATCAAAATTGCCGGATCAAAATTTTGAAAACCAATTCTGGCACTGGCGCACTGTCACCACATCTTATTCATACACATAGGCAAATTTCTTTCTGGCATGAGCAGCATTTTTACCTTTTCTATAGTAAAAAAGTAAAATATGACAAAAATGCTGTTTATTGCTCTCCATATTTAAAAGGGCCCCAACCAAAAACTATTGCGCAGAATTAATGGAACTTTTTCACGCACAAGCCTTGCTGTATCAGATCTTGAAATATATAATGATAATACGGCTTAAGTCGGAAGTTGGGCTCGAAAAAATACAATTAAATTCTCTGTTGGAAAAACGAAATAACTTTCGGAACAACCTGATACCATTAAATTAACTGTTTAAAGCAGACAAATTATGTAACACTTTAAAAGAGGTTTACATTGATTTCAGGTGCATTTCAGAAACAAACTTTACTCTAAAAAAACTATTTGTTCAGAAATGGGAAAGAATTGTTTTATTTTAATTATTTAAATTACATGAAAAAAATGCAAATAGCCTGATTAGTTTTTGATCTAATGTTAGGTATTAAGTTTCAATCTTAATGGTTTTCCGAACCTAACTTTATATATTCTAAGTAATTATAGCAAATAATATTTTAAATTAAAAAAATCGGATACTTGCTTTGAATAAACACGTTTTTTTCCAGTCAAATTTGGATTCATGACCCTCATTATATGGAAGGGGTTAGCATTGATTATTCCATTATTTATTCAGGAGAGTGGTCAGAAGTTTGTATCCCATAATCTAAATAAAATTTTTTGTGTATTTCGTCATTTCAAGGAAATCATATTTTTAAAAGTTTATATTTCGAGAATTAATCACCTGGTATCTTTTAAATGTTGCATTTTGTCATTTAAAACTAAATAGTTCAAAATGTGTTAAATTTTATATTCTTTAACCAAGGATGCCAACTACCTCATTTAAAGTGATGTCAGATTAAAAACTATAACTACAACTTATAAGATTTTGGTTAATTTTTGCTGACAATTTAAAAGGCTTCTCACAAAAAAACTGAAGCATATTTGCATTTTTATTAAATTTTTAAATTCGGTACATAGAGTGGTGGGTGAAATTAAATTAAATTACTAACTATATTTATGCTTTAAGCATTCAACCATAGATCTTTCTTACTTTAGGAAAAATTTCTTGAGAAAAGAAAGCGAATTTGCCAAATTTATTTGACCTTTATTAAATTTTAAAAAAATTATAAATTTTTTTTTTTTTAACACCAAATTATTTTTAGTATAATTGTGTGTAAAATTTTGCTGATTCATTTAATTTATTTGTGGTAAAATAGGCAAAAGTGAAAAACATTAAGAGACCCAAACTTTTGACTTTTCTCTTACTTTAGTTACTGGGGCCCTATTTTTGTTAAAAGTTTTTGACAACCCCCATATTTTGTCGTCCAAGAAACCAAATATGTCAAATAAAAATGCTTGCTATGTTTGGTAGTCTTGAACTTTTACCTATTACAACTTTTTCAAAATGCGCTATAGCTTATAGGATTAATTTTTTATCATAAATAATATTTAATTGAAATTTTTTTATCAATAGTAAACAGAAATATATACTTGACTCAACTTCATTTGCTTTAAAATTAAGAAGATTGTAATAAAATTCATTATGTTTAGCGTATTCTAAAGGGTGCTTTTTACACCTTTGAAACATGTTGACCTTTATTACTTTTTTAATATTTTTAAAGTAAATGAAGTTTTTAAATCATCAGGCATATCAAATTTCTATTCATAATGTAGTCTTTTTGATTCAGTTTTTTGCATTTGACTATTTTGATTGTGTCTCTTAGGTTGCATAGATTTTTTACAAAATTTTCTGTAATTGTAATCTTGTTGAGTTCAAGACACTTAACAATTTTATTATTATTGAAAAATTGTGCCTTGAGTATTACTGTTTTTGCCAGAACAGCAAAGAGACTATTTTTTGTATGTACTTTTAATTCTCGCATATTGTGATCTTGTTTTCCTCTTTTGGGAGTTTCTGTTACTTTTTGAAGCAACAAAATTTTTTTTTTTGTATAATTTGTCAAATATTTACATTTTTAGGACAAAGAAAATTGGATGTTGGAATGTGAACTGATGAAAGTGAAAAGCATACAGGTGAGTTTAATTATCAGTATCATAATAATTATGCTCAAAACATCAATTTTTGAGAACCTTATCATAACAAATAACTTTTTTTATCATAAGCTGTAAGGAAAAATATCTTAAATAATACTTATTGAAGATTGCATTAACAAAAGCATGCCTTGGGACTAGGTCTGTAGCACTCAGGCAAAAGAGTCAATCTTATACCATTTTTGTTTGTATTATATTAAGTAATAAGATGAATTGACAATTCTGGTGATAAAAGATTGAGTTAAAGGAACTACGAGATTTATATAATCAATGGATTAGCATTAGAAAAAATAAAATACACTATGATGCACAAAATATAAAAGTGAGCACCCTGAATAACTTTTGATTTAATCATTTAACTTTCACATACACGAACTTTTACAAACATGCCTTTTTTGACGAATTCAGATTTCTGACTCTAAAAATATAAGGGAGAGCTACAATCTGGAAAATTGGGCCCCAATAATTTAGTCAGAGCAGCGGTCAAATGTTTGGACACTTTACTGTTAATTTGTTCCCAGTTTTTGCCATACCTTCGGAACTAATGAAGTAAACTAAGAAAAGTTTTGCATACAAAATTCCAAGTAAAAATTATTGTTCATATATTTAAAAATGGTCGAAAACTTTTTGAGCTATAAGGTATCCAAATTTCTATGTCATTTAATTAATGAAATTTTAAATGTCGAAATTAAAATTGTGAAGGGAATCTGGTAGTGAAAATTAAAGATTTAGAAACCAAGCTTCTTTGAAATGGCAAAATATACACATACATGAAAAAGAAAATTACTATTATAAGTACAGTAAAAGAAAAGTTCGAGTACTATTAAACTGTATACTACTATTTGACAACAATTTGTATCTCAATTCTCTAGGATTGCTGAAACTTTTTCTGCCTACGTTGAATGCAGTCTTTGAAATTTATTTTTAATGAATTTTGAGAAATAGCTAATAACGTGTTTCATTATAGGATCCTAATTCTGAACCTGGGAGCCCTCAGATGAAATTACAAGACTATGACGAAATCCATTTGTTCGTCAAAAACACTGTCAACCAACTTATCAAACAGATTCAGTTTGCTGACAGCAAGGCTATTGCCTTTAAAAATGAGGTGAGAATAATGCAAAATGTTTTTCTCTTTGTTTCTTTGCAAAAACAATTGTTAAAACTCTTGTTTTCTGTTTAAAGTGTGAAACCCTACACCAGAGATTGAAAATGAGTCTGGAGAAAAAGGAAGTATTGGAAAGTGAGGTATTGATGTCAAGAAAGGAAGTAGATCGGTTAAAGGTATAAAATTTTATGTATGCTTTTTTTCAAACAAATTTTTTATTTAAAAAACAACATCTTTTGTTATAGGAGTTTCAATTGTTCTGAGAATGGCCTAGATAATCAAAGCCAGTTTATTTATCAGCAAAATGTGATAGACTAATTTACTTTTTCTTCTAGGAAATTAATAGGCTAATGAAAATAATAATACATAAGATGAAAATCAATATTTATTAAAATAATGTTTCTAATTACAATTTTTTAAAAATGAAATTACAGTGGTATGGGGGATTAGATCTAGATAAATTATGTTTGCAGTTCCAAATTCTTCTGGTTTTGTCTATGAATTCAATTAAGAAGTGGCTAATGAAAAAGTTTTATAGTTTTGTGCTCACGTTAGTCAAATTTATGTTTTTACCAAAAAGCCACACAAAAAGGAAGAAAACTAGAAAAACTTGATAATAAAATAAAATGGTTAAAATTAATTTATTGAGATGTTCAAAAGGGTAAGAAAGGAAATTTATCTTTTTTAACTATGTAGCAATTTAAACCTTTGTTTCTGTCAAAAGTGTTTTTTCTTCATTTGTAACCACGTGCAAATCAATTTTTGATTGAATTTTTCAAATTGCAATCTCATTGTAAATTATAGATGTAGAGTAAGAGGGGTGCACTTTTTGTTTTTTAAGGACTCTTTGTTTATTTTAAGTTCTATGCATATTTATTTTTAATATGCGTGTATGTTTATACATACATATTAAATTATTATATTTATATTATTATTATTCAATATATTATTTTAAGTTTTGCATATATATGCATATTTATATTTATTTATTTTTATTTTATATCTGAAAATATTCATAAAATTTAATAAACAGTTTTCTTATCCACTAAAATTTTTTTTAATGGAGGTTAAATTGCTAAGTATTTGTGAATGATGTGGATTTCCTAACAGCATTTTTTTCCATAGCAAATTTTATTTATCATAGACTTAAAGATAAAATTATATGTAAGATTGGCTTTCTTAATTATAATTTGAACTCGGAACTCAGATATGGGCATAATTCATGTCATTGACATGAAATTCATGTTAAGCTTAAGTTTTAAACTTTAACTTCTCCCCTTTGATAATGATTCTATGCTTAAAATTAAAATGTCTTGTGTTATTATTATTCAAATCATAATCTGATCTCATGATTCCAGAATTGCATCATCTAATCTAAAATTATAAATGAATTTTATTTCTTTTATTTTTCCCAAATAATTTTTAGTGTTTTTTGCAAACTGGTCCTTAAATGTTGCTTTAAATAATGAAAAATAAGGATACTTTGTTTGAATTTTTTTTAATTTTTTATAAATCAACAACAGGAGGAGCAAAAGACACTGATGCAGTCGTATGATGAGCAGCTGAACACAATGAGTGAGCATTTGGCTAATTTGAATGAAACTCTGACTGCCCAAAAGGATGAAATTGATGCACTCAAACACTCAAATAAGGTGAGTCATAATATTTATAATTCAAGAAGCATCATGATGAGTGTACAATATAGTTCATCATTATTGCTAGCATTGTCTTTTTAATGGGTAAAAAAAAAACCCTAGCATCCATTAAAATTTTTTTTTCAATTTAATTAAAAAGTGTTTTGATGCTATTAAATAATGTATTCAAAGATTGTAGAACTGAAAAATTTGCATGCACTTGAATTTTTGTGCCGTATCCTTACAGTCTACCAGTTGCGTTTAAATTTTTCTCTTTATAGAATGGCATTTTTGTTTTTCATTTCATTTTTGTTAGAAGCAGTTTTCTTGAAATTTGTTTGGATAAATGTGATTTTTTTTGTTAAATAATTCTCTTTTAGTAAAAAATGTTAAATAAAAAATTTACTTCTGTAGCTATTTGCATGTATAATGGAAATATTTTTTTTTTTGTCTTAACTTAAAAATTGCAGGTGCCATACACCCTTCAAAAAGAAAGGCTTTACCTAAGACATTTCTGCAGCTTATGAGCTATACATTAAAAAACTTTTCATAATTTTTATTCTTTCCATAGTTTGCTTTTTTGTAAAAAATATAAAAACTATTGGGATGGCATCTTTCTGTAATAAAATGTGGAAGGTGTTNCGTTCTTCTTTTTTTTCAACGTGCACATCAGCATTAAGTGAAAATATAAATGAACAAGGGGGATGGAAATGATTATACAATAAAAAAAAAGGCTTTAGAGGGTTGAAAAAAAATATTTGGATGAAATACCACTGTGGGGAAATATTTCTGGATTAAATATGTAATTTAGGAAAACAAAACATTGCCTTACAATAATTTTTATAAAATGTTCTATCATATTTTAAAAGCGAAAAAAAAAAAAAACTTAGTAACATAATAATAAAATTGTGAAAACGTTAATTCAATATCCTAGATTAAAAAATCAAAATTTTGGAAGAAAATATTTAGTTTAAAAATATAGCTATAGTATGCTTTGTAATAGCTGAAGTCTTGAGAATATTGAGATTTTAACTCCAGAGTTAAAAAGCAAACTATAGCTCTGAATTACAAATAGTTCTTATTTGTAACAATGCACAGTCAGCTTAATTCCTCTAATAAATCTCAATTTTCTGACAGAAACATTATGTTAAAGCATTAGTGACATACCAAAAAGAAGGGACCTAAAAAATGCTAATTAATGAGTGCTAAGAATTAAGTTGCAGAATCAAACACAAAAATAGATTCTGCATTTTTTTAGATTTCAAATTGATTTTGACACAAGATTTATATTTTTCACTATCAAAATGTTGCTATCTTAAAAATATGGTCTCAATATTGTAGACAGGAGAGCACTCAAAATACCGTTTCCCTTAATGTTTGTTTCATTCTTTACACAATTCACTATATCTCGGGAATTTTTTGAGCAAAACAAAATTTTTTACACAATTATCATTTTATCCAAATAACTTCTAATTTATTACTTTTAATGATTCTAAATAATAAATTATAAGGTAAACAGATTTTTACATAATTTTTAACTAGGTAAAATAAAAAAATTGAAAGAAGTTGCTTGAGTAATTCCTTGTTATACTGAATTTTAAAATTATGGCTTTTTAGAAATTTTATAACTCAGTTTTGTATTTTGACATTTAAAATTACATAATTTAAAATGGTACTACAAATAGTTGAATACCTCACAATCCAATCTTTTTTTGACCCATAGAAATGAAATAAAATATACTGAAAAATTTTTTTTACTTGAATTTTATAATTGGGAGCAAAAAGTTTTCGACTCGCTTTAAAACTTAGAGATGTGGCTAAATACGCAGAAACTTAATATTAAAGTATGCAAACTTTCGGGCGTTCTCGTGTCAGAATTATTAGGGCTCTTTTATTTTGACGGTAAAAAAAAAAAATTGTAGAAAAACGGTATGTAAGTTCTGAGAAAGTATGTTCTGTCTGATTTTGTAACAGAGTTAATAGTTAGTGTTAATTAATTAGTATAATTTAGACTTTTTTGAATCATTAATAGTGGTACTTAGTTTGTGAACATCTGGTCATTAAAACATGTTGCTACATGAGGTAAGAAGACTCAGTTTGAAAGCTATATTATCAGTAGTAACAAGAGATTTAGCAACACTATTAAATCAACAGGTCAGAAAATGTTCTGAATATTAGTTTTAATGAAAAAAGATCAAGGTAAAAATATTACAATATTTATAATACTACAAAAGAAATTTATAAATGATTTGATAGATCACTTCAAAAAACTTAATTTACGAGCCTTTATCAATTAATTAATTTTAAAGTTTTGATTGGTTTTTAGATATTTTGTACATGATAATTATCAACACTTTCTTTATAATATTGCGCTCGCAACTTTTTATTTTATCACCGTCGTTGAGAAGCCAAACACAATTTTGAGTCTACAACTACCTATGTTCAACTCCTTGTAATTTTGAACCCGATCCAGAAGACAAGGAAACTCCAAGGATCAATGGAAGAAATTTGCCTTTGTGGAGGACTTTTTAATGGACCCGCATTTGCGTTACACAAAGGGGAAAACCAAGAGAACCCCCCATGGTCAGCCTGGTGGCTAGGAGACTAACCCATGAACCATCTACCGTTGAGGATATTTTACGCCATTACTGTGAGCCGGCTGCAGAATTCATATCTAGCAGCCTCTGCTACAATTAAAGCCCTGGTCACCTCAATAGGAGGCGGAGCGCCTTACCACCTGAGCCACTACGGTTCGTGCGAAGTATGTTAACCAGTACAAATTATATTAAGAGTGTGATTTAAACTGAAATATAATAACATAGCTGCAAACATGGATAGGGAAAAATCCAGTAGATTTTACGAAATAGTATAAATTTCTTGACAATTCTTACAAAATGTTGTAAATATTTTAGACATAGGGAATTTTAGCCATCAAAATAAAAATAAAAAACTGCAATATTTTCCAGTTACAATTAACACTGAATGAACTTGAAATGTAATGTATTATCTTTATTCTTAATTTTGAATAGTAATAAGGATTTAATTCATTAAAGATGGTCAACTGACTTTTATAAATGTGACTCGCTTCTTTATGCATTAGTAACACCTATTTAAATATTCAAGCAAGCAATAATCTGAGCAAAAATTCTATTTCAATAGGGATTTTTTAAGGAAACTTTTTCAATTTTAGGGAATTTTCTAAAATGCACAAAAACCAGGAGAATTTTTATTAAACCAGTAGACCAAGAGAATCTTGCAAAATCCAGTTGTCTACTGGAAAATCCAGTAGAGTTGGCAGCTATGTAATAATCAGCCAAATGAATGCAACTTCAGTTTAATTGGGTGCTTGCACTTCAAGAAGATCACTGAAACCCACAGACTCTAATGACGTCAGTGCTAGCTGATTCCTGGCTCCAAACAAACATTATTGCCAGCAGCAATTACGAGACGCTTTTGAGAAATATCCTTTTTCTCATGAAAAGTCTTTTTATGTTTTCTAGTGCCTGAATGCTGCAAAAGCTGAATTTTGCCATTATTACTGATGTTTACAGTAGCCAGACAAACAGTACAGTAGGCAGAATATTCATCTTTACCTTTTTGGCACCAGTCTTTAACTTAACCATTATTTTTATCCTCTGAATAAAGCCAATCATCACGAAATCGTGTCAAATGATTTGGCATCTTTTAATTGTACTTATAAATTAAACAGATTAAATGCAATAAATATAAAAACAAATTAATCAAAGATAATAAAATAAAAACTTAAATAATCTAATTGAAAGTTAACATTTTGAAGCAAAATATTAACATAATAATTTAGTTTGCCATCTACTCAGAAAAAAAAGTCATAGAAAGTAGTATAAGCTTAGAAAGCACTAAAACTAATTTTCTGTGTAGTCAATAACAACACTCACTACTTCCAAAGGGTAACTTAAAATGGGTGATGAAGGTCCAATCAGGTAATAAGTTATATTCACTCCTCTGAATGAACCAATGGAGGTTGACAGAAAAACTCCCCCAAAAAGTGGGGGAGACAAAATTAGTTAGGGCAATTCCTGTCACTTCCATAGACGAAAATAAAACAGGTGAATAGAAAAAAAAAACTGACCTTGAGGTGTCTTCATCTTTGAATAGAATGAGTGACCCATGGATATTGAGGAGAGATACAGCAGGTAAGGAAAGAAAGAGTTTGGCAGACAACTGCAATTTCCATAAACCCCCCCTCAGACTTTTTTTGTGACATTGATAAAAAATACTCTATGATACATTCCACTCATGCTACTACTGGTTCTCTGTTATCTCATCCTTTATTGACAAAAGGGGTGTTGTTCCACAAATCTACCCAGGCCCTAACAATAGGAGTCCACACACTAACTTAGTCATTGTACCTTGAAAACTTTTATTAAACAACTACAAGAGATAGGGAAGGGGGGAGAACACTATTTATGTGTTCACTTACCCATTGTCATTAAGCAGTATTGAGGACATGTGAATTTCAAAATGATCATGACTATCTGAGGAAAGAAAAATCTAGAAAATTGTCTTCTATAGAAAAAAAAAATATTAGAGGGAAAAAAATATAGGCCAATTTTGAAAAATATAGGAAATAAAGGAAAAATAGGAGGCTTTCTTAGCTTTTTTTAAAAATATAGGAAAAATAGGAGGACTTCTACCCCTGTTATAAGCAAAATGGAGTGTTGAGGTAAGTTTCTCCTCACAAGTTAGAATGTTAATTAACGGGAAGTTAATTAAATACCGTCCTGCCCCGCACATCAAATTTGTTAAGATATAATTCTTTCTCTACATCTTTCAAACTTAGATAGATTATTTGTTTATATATTTTATTGTAACTGCAACTTGTTTTTGTTTTGTGTACCAGGCAACTTCAATACACAATTTGTTTATGTTCCACATGTCTCTGTGTTAAGTAAGAAATATGTAGTAAAATAATTGAAATCTTAGTGAAAGAATATAAAATGAGTCATTTAAGTGATACTTGACCGGCTTAGCCTTCTCGAAATAAAATGGAAAGAACAGTTGCTTAGATAAACGAAAGCCACATTTCAACAACCAATCAGGATCGAGATACCCACACTATGTCACATATCCCATTGGCAAAACATTTTTGACAGTGAGGTTATAATTTTTTTACGTTATTAAGAAAAATAGCAAAGAACTGAAAAACTATAAACTAAAGTGGAAATTCGTGAATTTGAAATAGGATCTCATGCAACATGCTGAATGCCACAAAAGCTGTGCTAATATTTTTTACATTGAAAATGTGCAACACTTCGTTATTCAAAAAAGTTGACACGTAAAAAGATTAGTAGAAATTTTTAGAAACTTGGTTTTTTCTTTCAAAACTATGATTTATTATGCACAAATATTTACATGTTCAGAAGTAAACCATTACTCAAATACAATCAGGGGAAAAAAATGATACCGAAACTATTTGAGGCATGATATAATATATGAATATACAAAATACAATACAAATGACACATGATTTTAATTGTTCTGGTTTAAAAGAAAATGAAGAGAATCAATTCAAGCAATTGTTTTAAGTCGTCATTATTTCAGGTGATGGATGAAAATCTTAACATCGGTTCCAAAAACAAAATGTTATACAAGTTTTTAGGTCAAGTCTTTGGGCTTTTAGATCACCATCATTCGAGGTGCTATGGACATCGACATAAGCTCTTGAAAGAGTAACTTGCAAGCGTATGGTATAGTTACTTGAGATATCTGTAAAACAAAAATCATTATTGCATAGACAATCATCATTTTACAAATAAGATACATTGATCACACATCAAAATTCAGATCACAAGCAAACTTCACTTTTACAGTTGCATTACCTCAAAAAAATAAAAAGGTGCATTTTTCAGCAGAATCAAACTTTTATTTTAATACCAAACTATTCTAATTAACACATAAAAAAGAATACTGATAATTTTAGCTATTCATAAAGAAATTGAAATTAGAAGATGTAACAAGACTCAACTTCTGATGAAATAATTGGTTTCTTCCTCTTTTTGTGCAATAGGGTCAGTCGAACGAACCTTTATTGATTTCCGTACGAATTGGGTTATTGTAATGGTCTTGTCACAAATTCTTTTATAATGTTAATGAATGAATTTTTGAAAATAGGAGATTCCAGCATCTTTCATGCAGAAATTTTACTGACACTTAAAAAAATATTGAAGTTATTTCGTTTCGAAATCTTGATGCTAATCATGAAGAAAATAAGGATTTGTCACAGTTTGGGAAAAATGCCTCAAACAACATGTTGAACGTTTATACGTCAGATGATGAAAACGCTGAAATTTGTGGTGTTGTCAGTTTGAGAAATGATTATAGAAGCAGACAAAGTGATAAGTAATATCAATGAAGACGGTGAAACGAAGTCACAACCAGTGCCAACATTTGTGGAAAGCCTCATAGCTCTTGAAACCATGTGGAACTTTTTGTATTCTGAACAAAAAGAAAATGAACAGCAATGAGTTACGAATATCGAAAATTTCTTGTTTGTGTTGGGAAATTGAAGAGTGGTCAAATAAAATTTTTCAAAAAAAAAAAAAAAATTTTTTTAT